GTTTCTTCGTCTGCTCCTGACTCTCCTTCCTCCCTTAGTCAAGGTGAACAGAGACAACTTGTTGTGCCTTGGGTGGTCACTTGCAAGCCTTTGTATTTTTAATTTAAATTCTATTTATTCATTTTTTCCAAAACATTTTATTTGGAGCTAATATGGATATCATACCATTCCACAGTTCAATCACATCAAGCAGTATTATATGATTGCTACCATAACCAGTTTCAAAGCATTTTCTTCCTTCTTGAACTCCTTGATATCAGCTCCCCTTTACTACCCCTCCCCAACTGTACCCCCCAAGAACTCTGATTCTACTTGCTCTCTTTAGGTTGTCAATCCTGGATTTCATGCACACACACACACACAAAAACCATATAACAAAATTTCAAGAGGACCTTGGTGCTATAGGGGTTACTCATTGGGCTGTTAACCAGAGGGGCACCACTAGTTGCTCCACAGAGAACGATGAGGCTTGCTACTCCCTTAAAGAGTGAGTCTCCGAGACCCACAAGGCAGTTCCACCCGTCCTACAGGGTCACTAAGAGTCAGAATGGACCCCATGGCAGTGGTTTTCCATTCAACAATTTAGACACAATTTAGACACACTTCTGACTTTTTGCCTTTGACATGGATAATTGTCTACCCCATAGTTCTCAGCCTCAGCATTGACCCTCCACAGGAATGCTTCAGACTTGTTTTCCTTTTGCATCCTTTTGCAAATATTCATGTTCTAAGTGGAGAAAAATACTCCTAAAAAAGAAAATGTATGTCTTCCTTGAAACTATAGTTCCATGGCAGGCATACCAAAAGTTAAGAAAAAAAATTTTTTTAACTACTTGTAAAAAAATAAATGCTTTCAATTGACCACTGATGCCTGGATGATTCCAGCTTTCTTACTTGTTGACTTACTGCCATCAAGTCCATTTCAACTCACAGCGGAGTGGGTTGTGCATTGGATTGCAAACTGGAAGGTCATCTGTTCAAAACCACCAATCCCTCCAAGGGAAAGAGATGAAGCTGTCCATTCCCATAAAGAATTACAGCTTCAGAAACCCACAGAGGCAGTTCTACCATATCCTATAAGGTTGCTGTGTTACTTATTGAAGGAAGGCTCTTTCAGGCCAATAATAAAAAAAAAATCACAGAGGCTACCAATGTCCATGTGATACAAGTGACCTTAGTATTATTTATTTTATAGTAACCTGATACCAAGAGATATCTAAAGACTAAAAGACTTCTACAAACAATTTTTAAAATGTATTCATAATTTGTTGTAAGAGACATCAATATGGTAGCAATTTTCTAACCTGTTATCTTATAAATGAAGCAATTTCTAAACACTGTGGATATTCCTCTACCTAGTGATTTACTGAAATTTAAGAATAATGTGTGGGTTAGACATTGGATAGTTAACTGTAAGGTAAGCGGTTCAAACCCACCAGCTACTCCATAGGAGAAAGACGAGACTGTCTCCTCCCTTAAAGATTTACAGACTCCACTGAAGGACACATATTGTACAACTTGACATATAAAATAACAGGAATTCTAAAATTGATCACACAACACTTTTTAATATAATCGAACTGTTGAATTTTATGATGTGAATTATATGTCAATAAAACTTTTTTTAAAGACAAAGAAAGATTTACAGACTCAGAAAGTCTAGGGAGCTGTTCTACTCTGCCCTATAGATCACTTTGAGCTAGAATCAGCGTTATGTCATGGATTTGGGTAAAAAGTAATCTACTTTAAAAGCATCCACGTGAAGTGGATCACTATTAACACTCATTTTGGGGGTAAACAAACCAAACTGAAACTAGTAAATGATTTGTCTAAAAGTAAATACTGACCCAAAGTCAATAGCAAAGGAAGACCAAAGAAGAATGGATACATCTGACTTATGATGTTAGTGAACAGTATCGAAAGTACCATGGGCTACCAGAAAAACAAATTTGTATCCGAAGAAGTACAATCAGAATGCTTCTTATAAGTGTACAAGAAGTATCATACAACCTAGAGTTTATTACCTAATGAATACATTGTCTCACATGCTTTGTGCAGATTGTCAGGAAAGACTAGTTTCTGGAGAAGAGCATCATGCTTGGTAAAGTAGAGGGTAGGAAGAAAACCCTCAACAAGGTGGTTCAACACAGTGGTTGCAACAGAGTTTAAGCATAAGGGATGTGAGGCTCGTACCGGACCAGAAAGTTGTTTGTTTTATTGTAGACAGTCACCGTGTCAAAATGGACTCTCTGGTACCTAGCAACCACAGCAGTTGCTTATGACACATACAAAATAAAGCTGCCCAAACTTACCCCCGAAATACTGAAGATATTCTACATCTAGCTTAACTATGATAATTTTATCAAGCTGGGAAGAAACATGTTATGTTAGCTACAGGAGTTTCCAAGTCTGTAATTCACTGGTAGCTAAATTATGAGAAGCAGGACATAAATTGTATTTAAACCTCACCATCATACTTTCAGTTGTTCTGTTTATGATAAAATCAAAGCTTGAGACTTTTATGGCCCAAGTGGTAAAGAGAAGGTTAGTGGTTTTATTAAGGGGTTTGGGGCTTCAAAATCATCGGGAAAGAAGAGCTCCTTGACCTTAATTTGCTCATGCACTAACAATGCACAATACGAGGCGTTTTTTCCGAAGTTCTCTTCCCTCTTGGCAAGACCAAAATTCTCACATGAGTCAATGTCTCATTTTCTCTGGAGGTATTCTAACTTTAATCCTTCTCCTTAAAGCCCCTCTACATCTGCCTTGAAAACGGCCTGCCAAATATAGAAGGAGGCTGTGAAAGTGGAAGATGGCCATCATGATTGTCACACACTCTGCTCTTGTGTTTATTCAGGAGATGAATTTATGTTTGTGTGGGTGGAGGAACTGAGGATGAGAAGGGTTGTTGTATAACTTGAAGAAAGTCATCGTCACTGAATTTCAGTATTTGAAACGCTTGCATTGGTATGTTTTGCTGTGCATATTTTCATCATCATCAACAACAAAATAATATTTTAAAAGATGCATCCACTGCAAGTCTTTTATGCAAATTCAGAATAAAGATGGTAATGCACTTTCTTATATGAATATAGTGCTTCTTACATCAGTAACAACTGTCACAATGAGGAAATCTTTGAGTAAACGGAGCCCTCGTCTTTCTAGACTTCAAAGGTAGTCTCCACTTTAGGTATTTCTAAACTTTCCAGGGACCCAAGATCTTGAGAAACATACTTTTTGGCTCACATCTAAATGGAAAGACATTCTCAGATTTTGGTTACTTTCATAATACAGCATTATTCCTGGTGCAAGCAACAATAATGCAGACACATTCTTTTTAAGATGGAGGCAGGCTCGTTTTAGCTCTTTCACTAATATAAGTAAATCAGCTATATTTCCCCCTATTGTGAATCAGCAGCAAAGCTCTAAAGCTGACGGGTGTTATGCCCCTAAGAAGCTGAGGGCCATCTTCCAGCTGGAAAGCGCCAGAGCAGGAGGCTGGAGGATCAGCTACATTCCTCTGCAAGGGCCCCGACTGGATGTCCCTTTACCACCTGGACATCCTTAGTTTCAATGTGCCCGTGCCTGAAAGTGAATCTGGGAGAGAATACCAACTCAACCCTTTCCTCCTCGGAGTGTAAATCTGCTGTAAAGAACTGGCTCAGGGGCCAGAACGAGATTAGCTATCTCTTTGAAGAAGTTGGGTACAACCAAAAGCAGACAGACAAACTCACTGTCCATGGAGTGGATTCGGACTCCTAGTGGTTCTATGGGACAGAGCACAACTTCCCCTGTGGGTGAAGAGTTGCTGGTGGTTTCCAACTAAAACTCGGCGCTGACATTGACCCGTGGAGACCCCTTTGGTCAGGACAGAACTGCCCCCTGTGAGTTTCAACTCTTCACAGAAGTTTCAAACTGCTGACCTTGTGCTTAGTACCCCAAGGCAATCACTCCCTACCAAGGCTCCTAAGGTACAACTTATATGAGTTTAATACCTAGTAAGAAGGTATTTCAAATGCCAACACACACACACACACACACACACACACACAACTCACGGGATAACCTCCCTTGCAAAGAAACTTGATATCAAGGCCATCTGGCCATTTTAAAATGGGCTTTGGGTGGGCAGTGCAAGTTGGGTAGTAGTTGTGGTGTGGGCGTGGCAGGGAAGGGGACACTAACTAGCAGGAGGTAAACAGTCACCGTTTCCTGCTGTTTCAGTTCGGTTTGTTTTGTTTTCTTCTGCTTCCCGCTCTTCACTGAGTCACTGCGTATAACTGGGCTCCCAAAATGAATTTCTCCGCGGTGTCGCTTTAGCAACCATTGCAAAATGCGCGCGTGTTCCTCTTTTGCTTTCCCCTCAATGGGGAGGCACGGGAACTGGTCAACGTGGGAACAACACGATAGCGCCCCGCTGTCTCTGGTGAAATCCCACCAGCGAACTTAGGAAGCCCACAGAGAAGCTGCAGCCACCGCCACGTTTGACGAACCCAGGCCCACGTCATAAGGAAGGGAAGTTTTGTGTGTTCAACCCGGGAATCCCCAGGTAACCATCTAGCGCGGAGGCATGCCCCTGGTGCTTTCTGCGCCGCACGATCACAACAGATTCCGCGAAACCCAGGCCAGAATCAGGTGCTTCTGGGAAGGGCAGCGCAGGCAGGTGCCACAGACTAGTCGACGGGGCGCCCCACCCCACCCACCCCCGCACCCCGCACCCGCCAACACCGCCCCTCCAACTGCCCTGCGGCGCTGCCCAAACCCTCTCCTGCCCCGGACTGCAGTGCGCGGGCCTCCTCCCCTAACGCCGGCCGGAGGGAGGCGGACTGACGCTGCGCCCCGGAGCTCGTCCCGCCGACGGGGCCGCGTCCAGAGCGGGGAGTGCGCCCGCGGCGCGCCGTCCCGCAGCCTCCCCGCGTCCACACCTCCTGGGGGACCGGCCGGGCGCCCGGCGGCCGGCTGCGGGCCGGGCTCGCGGGAAGCCCCCCCGGCGGGCGTACCTCGGATGTAGACGCACTTGCTCTCGTCCAGCTGGCTGGAGGCCGAGGCGCCCATGGCGAGGGTGCGGGCGGTGCCGAACGCAGCGCTGGCCGACCCGCGCGTCGGGGTGGGACTGACAGCTCCCGCCGGCCGCCTGCGGCTGACTCCGGGCAAACTTCCTCCGCGAGGCGCCGCCCCCTGCAGCTCGGCGAGCTCCGCGCCTCCGCGCCTGGGGGGCCGGCCCGCCGCCGCCTTCCCGCCCTCATCTCTGCCCCGCGCCAAGGAGGTCTCCCCCCCTGCTCCCCGAAGGACGCACTCTTTCTCCTGTGGCTCCTCTTTGCCGAGTTTTGCTTCTGGGGTTCGCACCTTTAGGAGGAGCCCGTCGTTTCCCGGGTGACTGGTTACAGTACTGCGAGCTGGGGCGCTCCCTGCAGCCAACCCGCAAGAAGTCCGGGGATTTGAAGACCCCCTTACACTGGGCCTCCGTGAGTGGAAGACCCCTTTACACTGGGTCTCCGCCTGCGAGTGGAAGACCCCTTACGCTGGGTCACCGCGAGTGGAAGACCCCCTTACGCTGGATCTCCGTGAGTGGAAGACACCCTTACACTGGGTCCCCGCGAGTGGAAGACCCCTTACGCTGGGTCCCTGTGAGTGGAAGACTCCCTTACACTAGGTCTCCGTGAGTGGAAGACACCCTTACAGTGGGTCCCCGTGAGTGAAAGACCCCCTTACACTGGGTCCCCGCGAGTGGAAGACCCCTTTACGCTGGGTCCCTGTGAGTGGGAGACTCCCTTACACTAGGTCTCCGTGAGTGGAAGACCCCTTTACACTGGGTCACCGCGAGTGGAAGACCCCTTACGCTGGGTCCCTGTGAGTGGGAGACTCCCTTACACTAGGTCTCCGTGAGTGGAAGACTCCTTTACACTGGGCCTCCTGCACACGTTGAGAAGCGCCGTTCTCCTGTAGCCTGGTCCCCAGGCCAGCATCCCCTGTAAACCTGCAGGGATAAGCACAATCGCCTCCCTTCCACCCCCTCACCAGAGGCTCGGGAATCTGGGTTTTCACACACTGACTAGGTCACTCCCACTCCGAAGCCCATCCTCCCCTGCAGCCCCGACGTTGGCCAAGGAGGGGTTGAAGGAGTGAAAGAAAGGAGAGAAAGCCATTTGGAGGTGGGGAACGAAGGGCTGGGTAAGGCAGTGTACACCCAGCAGTGAAACTGTACGTGCTTGGCCACCTCTCCTCACACCTGCAGGCTCCCTTCTTTAACCAAGTGGAAATCGCTCATTGGAAAGCGCATGTGTACCTTTCCCACAACCACTGTGTAGCTTGGCAGCCTCTCTTGGGCACAGGGGTCACCACTCATTTCATCCCATTCCTAGTAGACAGGGTTTTAGTGGCTCCTGTTGCCTCACCCACAAGATCAAGTGGTTTGTACACGGGGAAGCAAAGCCTCAGTGGGACTTCAAAGGCTTTCCCCTTCCCAACCCTCCAAGTTCATTTATTAGTATTTCCACACAAAAAAATTCTCATACCTCACCCCCAAGGTCTCATCCTACATTCCAAATCACCGGCGAGGCCTGCCAACTCGACTTTCAATCTACATCCACTATCCAAACAGGTCTTCCCTCCACTGCCATCACCACCGACATTTCTTAGCGGGCGTTGCTCTACTCTTCGAACTGGTCTCCCTGCTCCTGAGTAAAACCCAGTCTCTTACCTGACATGCTGGCCTTGACTCGCTCTCTGAACTCACCTGCTCTTCCTAGAACAAACCCCGGTGGAGGAGGAGGTTACCACTTGGGCTGCCAGCCTCAAGGTCATCATTTGAAACCACCAACCCCTCCACGGGAGAAAGAGGAGCCATTCTAAACCCAGCACAGATCGAACGCCTCAGAACCCCGCAGGCGCAGTCTGACTTTGCCCTCTTGGTCACTGGAAGTCAGAATCACCTTGATGGCAGTGCGCTTGGAGTGGGGAGAGAACATCCCGAGCAAAACTAGCGCCTGGGGGTCTTTGTGCGAGATTGTCACCATTAGAATGTGCTTCCCTCAGATTTTCCCTGTTTGACTGCGCCTTGCTTCATTCAAGTCTCTGCTTGAATGTCAACCCCTTCGGACCAGGGAATCTAAACATCAGCCCTCCTCTGTCTACCCTGAACCCTTGGCTTCTCTTAGGATCCTGTGACCCCTGTTTTCTTTATCTTCCTAGCTTGCCACAAGACGTAAGCTCCATAAGGAGGTGAGGGATGTTTTTCTTTTATCTTTTTCAATCGTTGTTTCTTGTCAGGTTTTGTTGGTTGGTTTCCTTTGGTAGTGGATTATTTAAGTGCAGGGAATTTTATTTTGTAAAATTGTTGTATCCCAAGTACAAACACCTGGAACTTTATAATTTTAAAGCACTGCCATCTATTGATTCAGACTCATAATGACCCCCATCTAGGACAGAGGGAAACAGCTCCTTTGGGTTGCCTGGTGTCCATCTCTATGGTAACAGGAAGACGGAGGTTTTTACCACCAAGAGGCCGGTCATTTCAAACTGCTGGGCTTGGCTTTAGCAGCGCCAGTGGTACCCCATTAGATTCCCCGAGCTCCTGCATGGGCCGTCGTAGGAAGCTCTGACTAGGTACCTTCTGAAGAAGACAATGAAGGAGCTCTGAGCAGTAAAATCTGGACTGAATGAAAGCTGTGAGTAGGATGAATAACGAAGGGCCATCACCAGATAACTCAGTAATTCCGATGCTCAATGATTTGATTATTCAATGTTCCACTCCTTTCTCAGTGACCTAATCAGCTCTGTGAATTCTAACCTGGGGGTTTCATTGCATGTGGGCTGGTCAAATCGCATATGTTCATGTCTCAGTTTCCTCATCTCTTAAATGGAGCTCTTACAGGTACCTCATAAGCTATTGTGAAAATTAAATCTGATGGGCTCTGGGAAGCACTTAGCATTTTTCCAGGGATGCAGTAAAGGTTCAGCAACAGAGTTCTCAGTAAGGTTAAGAGAGGGCAAAGAAGAGACTCTAGAGAGAGAATTTTGCAGTGGAGCCTGAAAAATCACAGATGCTTACATTAACAAAGTGCTTCTTTTCTCCAAATAAAATTCGCTGCCTCTTGACTTACAAAGGAAAAAGGAAAGGAAATCATGATTTTAGTCACAGTATTTAGTATTTACAAATCCTAAATAAGCGCAATTTTATAAATGATTTACCATTTTATTCAACCATTTGGGAAAAGGAGTCCCAAAGCAACTCATTAACTTTGAGTCAGTTCTGGTTTCCTAGAATTCAAATCAGCTACTTTAAAAAATTTCTTGTGCTATTTTAATTTCTATACTATAATAGCTTCTTTGTTGAAATACCTTAGGAACATTGCTTTCTGGTATATATCACATATTATAATGATACCTTTTAAAAAGTATCTTTATTGACATGTGATTCTTATACCATAAAATTTGTTCAGGGTGAAGGGTGACAACAGTTGGTGTAAGATATGAAAACAGGAATAATTTATAATTTATCAAGGGGTCACAAGGGTGGTAGGGGGGAAAGGTGGGGGGAAAAGAGGAGCTTATACGAAGGGCTCAAATAGAAAGTAAATGTTTAGAAAACTATGATGGCAACATATGTACAAATATGCTTGATACAATTGATGTATG